CCTGTGAAGGATCCCTGTAGCCGTGTCATTGTTATAGTACTGCTGTTAAGAAGGCCACGGTACTGTAACAATATATACTATTAAAACAAACAATTTGGCCACCATATATATAAATTTGGCCACCATATAAGTACTATGTATTAAAATAACAACCAGCTATCTAACCTCCTAAAGACCTTTACATTATTGTTAGATATCTAGAGAAAGTTATTTGATCTTTTTGTTTTATGTAGCTAATACATCAATTAGTAACTGATGTATTTGTAAAACTTCATTAGATACAATATCTCATTCATAGTATATTTGGGCACAGAATTTCTAATGTTAGTTTTGTTTACAACATATTTGGTTCAGAGTATTTAATATTTATTTCATTGATAATGTATTTGAACACTGTTTGATACTGTTATAGTTAAGATTTGAGTATATGAGAGTGAAAATCTGTAACAAATCATAATAAAGCTTTAAATCTATTTTCAGGTTTTCATTCTCATACACTCATTTTATAATAATTATACTGAATATGTATTGATTTTATGTAGTACTATTTTCACTATTAAAACTCAAAATTTATTAAGTGTAATAATGCATTAATCCAGATTGCATAGCATTATTCTTTTAAAAAAGCTTAAAAAAAAATGTAAGTATTTCAAGACATAGATAATATTAAATATATAACTAATCAAATTTGATTGAATCAGGAATTCGGCAGTATAAACAGTATTTTTTAACTACAAATTTGGCTGCTTTACCTTTCAAACCTTTTTGGTACACATCTATATATTAAAATGCTTTTCTTATATATTGACGAATAGTTGGAAGTTGAACGAAATTGAGTGCCAATGGAACAGTTTTTTGTAATCCTTCCATGAGTAATTACAATATGACCGGCTATATCTCTTGGCTGCACCCCAGAAGTTTTCGATATAATTGAACTCATAGTGAAATTTGGAGTAAAATATAATTTGATGCCTGGTTGCAACAATAATTTCTTCCAACTGTTCTTTTTGTACTAAAAAGTCTGGTTGTTAACTTATTAATTCTTGCACTTCTTTCAACCTCAACCCTTTTTCTGGCCACAATCCTCTTTCCTTTAGAATCTCTTTCAAACCTTTAGCTTCACTACATAATTTAGAAATATAATAATCTAATGAAAAAACTATGCTTTTTTCCATTATGAAAATATGATGTACTGCATAGTTTCTTTTGTTTTCTGGCAGGATGAAGCTTCATATTTTTGGTGATAAGTATATCACATAAAAAAACAGTATTATGACTTGTTGCATTGTCAAATACAAACAAGGCTTAACATTTTAGAAAGCATGTTTCAAATATAAAAATAGCATAGTTGGCTATCTATAGTATTACAAATTGGACAAAAAAATGTGTTAGTAATAGTTTTTTAAAAATTCAATTAAAAATTGATTATACTTAACTAATCGATTAATCAATTAGTTAATTATAATCGATTTTAATTGATTTTCAATTTGGAACTAATTACCTGATTGATCAAGTTCTCAGCTTTCTACCATCCATTATAATTTTTGCCACAGTGTATAACAACACAAGCTTCTCTAAAAAGCTTATCTGACGGTTGTATTTCATCAGAAAGTACAAGTCAGCCACGAACATCAGTTAGAAATTTACTAATGTAAATCAAACAGCCCTCACCTTTTTTTCGTAAAGGTTGTTCTTCATTAGAAATCTAAAGACTTCAACTCCTATCATTGGCTGAAAAAATATATTCATCATGTATAACAAAAATAAGTAGCTTTATATTGTTATCTGACCAGGTCTCTACTGCTATATTATCTCTGAAAAATACAGACATTCTATTCTAAAGTTCACGTAGTCGTTCTAAAAATATATTTCAATATGCCACTATATTTTTTCTTTTATGCTCATCTACATAAACACCTTTTTACTTTTCTATATACATATCTAAGCTTTTTCAAATAATTTTTTGCAGTACTAAAAGAAATAGTTGAAGATGATGCAAACCAGAGCTCTGGTAGAATAACCTCATTTATCTGAAGTATGATCATATGTAGAGTAATATTCTACTTATTTTTTTGAACATATAATTTTATTTGAAGAAGAATATTTTTATTCCAGAGAAAGCTTCATGTTTTAGCATAATGTCCTTGATGTGAATAAGGAATATGACGAGTTATAACATACTCATATACTTAGGAATGAATGCATTTAGTGTGGTATACCCCTTTTCCTGCCACATCTGTGATTATCTTGCTTGCTTTTATTTTTTGGTGATTATTTTTTACAAGCTAGAGATAAAAACGAATGCTATTAAGACATACACAAACTTCACTGGTTGGATTCACTTTTTTGATATCTAATACTAAGTCTTCAAGAGCATTTAGAATTTTTTTACGCCATTTACAAGTTTCAATCTTATCCTCTGATGGCCCTCCAATATCATCATCTTCATTAACTTCCTCTGATAGCTCTCTAATATTATTACTCTCATCAACTTTCTCTAACTATTCATCATTATCATCATACAATTCTACCTTACCTTTTTTAACAGATTTTCTTGGTTTCAAAAGATATGTAATGTGGAGGTTCTCTTTGCTGCTTCACACTGTTGCTGCTTTTTTCTCTTTTTAGTACAGATTAAGTTTTCTAGATAACTTAGACTACAAGTTTTGTTAAAATCACATTCCCAGTAATATTTATGAGCTGCATCTTGAAGTTTTTTTACAATGCTTTCTATATTATTGTTTTCAAATAATTCATTATAAGCAGAAAGATTGTCATCATCATAATCTTCGAAGTCAGTATTATCAATATCATATTTTTTTTGTTGCTGCTTGAAGCCTTTTTATAATGCTTGTAGCATTATTATTTTCAACTGCCTCATTATAAAAAAGATTATCAATATTGTCAGAATTTTTAATAA